CAGCCTCCCTTCCACAGCCTCCCTTCTACAGCCTCCCTTCCTCAGCCTCCCTTCCACAGCCTCTCTTCCACAGCCTCCCTTCCACAGCCTCCCTTCTACAGCCTCCCTTCCACAGCCTCCCTTCTACAGCCTCCCTTGCTCAGCCCAGACTTCTCCAGACAGTGAAGGAATAAGAAGCACAAACCACTGACCACAAGGACAACCAAGAGGCCACAGCAGCTGGAACCATCGCACCTTCCTGGGGGGTGGGAGGATGGGGTCTGGGTTGGCTCTGTGGGACCTGCCACGGCCCAGCTCCTGGTTCCGGCGGCCACACCCTGGCCTGGTCCTCGTCTCCCTGGCACATGCCCCCCCCCCCGCACCGCCCGTCTTTTGCTGGCTCTGGCACGAGCTGCGGGCGCCTGGCCCCGGGCCGTCCTCCAACGCCCAGCCAAGGCATCAGGCCACCCAGCGGCTCGGGGTCACTGCCAGCCCCAACCTCGGGGAGCTCTCTGGAGCTCCTCAGGCCTCAGTCTCCTCGCCATGAAGTGGGCACAAGGGTTACCCCGACCTCTCGGGGTGCTAGAGAACAGTGCCTCGTGCCTTCCACGGGCTCAGGAAGTGCTGCTGTGGTCCTATTATCACTTCTATGGGCACGTCACCCCCACCTGGGCCGGTTCTCACGGGTCTCAGCCTTGAATGTGGAGGGACAAAGAGCGACAGGCCCCCAGACCATCAGGGAAAGAGCAGCCTGGGCCACCGCTGCCCCCTGCTGCCCGGCACTGGAACTGGCCGATGGCGGAGGAAGTGGCACCGGCTCTGTGCTGGCCAGGGGCAGGGGGTGCTCTGGAGCCTCTGCCGGGTGCTTGTACATGTAGGGGACCCGACTCGCAGTCGTCATGGAGACCTGAGGTGGGAGGTGCCGGCGGTGAGGGCGACGGTGAACTGAGGTCTGTTGAGTTCAGCGAGCGCTGACTGCTGCCCTGTGGGTGGACGAACCTGCCTTGGGTCCGGGGGTGGGGAGCTCCCACTAAGCAGGTTGGTTGCATGCACGCATTTGAGCCCATGTGCGCG